AGATTGTGGCGCTATTTCGATACATAAACGGGGTCCTAGAATAGCCAAAGTATCCAATATTTTAATTTGTACTTCTTCCCTCCAAACACCAAAATATTTTCCGCCAATAAGCTTATCCATGGCCAATTCGATAATACGTTCTGATTCCATTCCTTTAGCATCATTAATAGCGCACCCCACAAAGGTCTTCCATACTGAAAGAAATGTCGTGGATCTTCTGACTCCTTTAATGTCTTTACCTCCCTAAGATTAACATTCATGTCCGTAGTGTCTAACAAATAAAATGGTGCAAATAATTTAAATTTTTCTTCTGCAACTCTTTTAGATGGATCGAGGTAATAAGCAGGCGAAAAGGTCGAAATATTTGAATGTGTGTCCGTAAAGACCGCAAAAATTCCTGCTCCTTTGGGTAAGAGAATTAAAGCACGTCGAATATAATAGAACGGTGAAATTTTTCCAACGTTTTTACTTCCATCCTTATTACCAACCAGTGTACTAGCTTCATCGAATGCAAACAGGTATTTAACTGGACCTTCTCGTTTTATTACTGTGTTTTTTTTAACCAAATATTTCTCGACCAAGTCAGTTGTCTCACTATCCGTAGAACATGTCATTAGATGGTCCTTTATATTTTTCATTCTGTTTTCAACATCTCTCCAAAAATTCCCTTGCAAATTTTTATTGGTATGCTCATCCAACCATTTCTTACAATCTCCACTGAAATCTTGCATCTTTTGAAAGCATGCGCATATGTACGCAAGGTAGGTGGTTTTGGCATCTTGTTCATTATTAAACTCTTTTATTAACATTTTGGCAATATCCGATCTGGGTGGATAGCCACTTGATTCGGATTTCCGCAAACAGCAATATACTGACATTATCTCTTCAGCAACATTTATCAATAATTTGGATTTTCCTACACCACTGGCTTGAATTAAGGTTGTATATGGCGCATAATAATAATTACCAATCGTATTGTATTCATCTAGACACTTGTCAATAAATTGTATAAACCTTTCCGAAAGGTTACTTGGATCTTGAAAAGTTCTATTAA